GGAAAAGGGAGGGAAGGAAGGAAGAAATAAGAATGGAGGGAGGGAGGGAGGAAAGAAGGAAGAGAGGGAGGGAGGGAGGGAGGGGACAAGGAAAGAAATGGGAAAAAGAAGGGAGGAGGAAAGAAGGAAAAGGGAGGGAGGGAGGGATGAAACAATGGATCAATGGGGAAACCCACAGTCAGGGGATCGTGGCCAGCCACCAATCAAATGTCTCCTCATCCAGGGAGGATCCGGCAACACCGCACCTACCTGCCCGCCATTCACCGCCGCATGGTAAGCCGAGCAGGTGAAGATCAGCATGGTCAGGTACTTGACGAGTTCCGGGATGGAAGAAATGGTGGAAGGGACGCCTGTAAAGAAAAGGGCAGCAGAAGTCCAGCTGAAATCCCCCACGGACAAGGGAAGGAAGGCCAAGCCGCGATTCCCGAGGGATGGAGGGACGCATCGTGATTCCTGTGTCAACTCGTAAAGCATTCCTATGCCCGTTTTCGAGTTGCCATAAGCAGGGAGAGGGTGAGAAGCCCCCTTGAGGGAGCAGTACGGCAATTAAAACCAGAAGTACATTCCACGCTTATCTTACAAAGATTGTAGCCTAGGCTTCCAGATCTCCTGCCCTCAAATATCCTTCGTTGGAGAATCTGATTTTTGACACATCCAGAGGGGAGGTGGGGAAACAGGGTCACAGCGGACCGTAAATTACATCTGGCAGAGTTGGCTCGTCAATGCTGACATGTTACTCCCAATAAATCTTTTGGATTCATTTGAAGCATGGCTCGAGACTCATGGTTTAATTGGGCAATTGCTGGAACCCTGACACCCTGTGCGTTTACAGCTCAGCCCATCCCACCCGTCGTTCCAGTCATAACCCCTGTGGGATTGGATCCGGTTTTTTGACCGTTTGTATAGCGGTCATTAAGTGAAGTCACACGGTCGTGCGCCCGACAGTGTCTTGTTGGAAGAGGAAGACAAGAAAGAGGAGAACGCACAAAAAAACAGAGAAAATACTAGGCGGGTGGTTCCTTGACTTACAACTACAGGGTAATTCTTGACTTACAGCCATTCGTTTAGCAACTGTTCAAAGTTATAGCGGCACTGAAAAATGTGACTGTTTTTTGAACTTATGACAGTTATGGCATCCCCATGGTCACATGATCCAAATTCAGACACTGGAAACTGACTTATATTTATGACGGTCACAGCATCCCGAGGTCACTGTTTTTGTGACCTTCTGACAAGCAAAGTCACTGGGAGAAGACGGATTTACTAAACCACCGGGTTATTATCTTATCCACAGCAGTGCTTCACTTAACGACTGTGGTGAGAAAAGTCTCGACCCTGTAAGGGATTACGGGGTCATTAAATGAAGATATATATATATGTGTGTGTGTGTGTGTGTGTGTGTGTGTGTGTGTGTGTGTGTGTGATCTGCAGCAGGCTTCTGACGAGCAAACTCACCAGGGGAAGCCTGATTCGCTTAACAACTGATTGATTCTCTTAATAGCCAAAGTATTTTGCTTGACAACCCTAGGAAACAAAAGATTTTAGAAGAGTGCACACAACTCACTTAAATGCCTTCTTTCAGGGACATCATAGTGTCTAACGGTCACTAAAGAAATGGTCGTAAGCAGGTGTGTGGTTCAAAAATGCCAACAACCAGTTCGCTGGTCAGTCGCTGGGCGGGTGTGGCCATGGTGTGTGTGTGTTAGGAATATGAGTCACCTAACAGCTATTTGGGTTAGAAATATATAAACCAGGATAAACATTTTAAAACTGTATCTTTAAGAAAATGTAAAACTGTAATTAGGTGTGGTTTCTCAAACGGCCATAAGATGGAGCCAGAAACCTGGTTTGTCTTAGTCTGAGTCTCAGAAGAGAGTGTAAGTATATCTCTGTTTCCTTCTGTTGGAAAGTATTGCCCTTGCTCCATTTCTTCAAATTGACTGATATTACTGGATTTAATGTAAGTCTGTTACTGATTTGTGTTTGATACTGGACTTTGATATTTGGATTATCCCTGGATTGAAAAACTGACTGATTTACCTGTGAATGACTTTTGGACTGCTTATTTTGGACTTTGCTTAAACCTTTCTGGAAGTAAAACCCTACATTTACTGTACAGTGTATCTGTGTACTGTGTGTGTATTATTCAAACACTTCTCTCAAATACGTCTCCCTGTATGCGCTCATTCTCCTAACGGGGAATTACCTCGACAGTGTGGCCTACTGAAACTTCCAGGAGGGTGGTTTTTCACCTTCCCCGGGCTCTGGAGGCTTCCCTGGGAGGGCAAAAACTGCCTCCCCGGGCTCGAGAGGTCCTCCGGAAGCCAAAAACAGGCCTGTTTCTGGACTTCCAGAACTTCTACAAGGGCCATTTTCCCCCCTCCCAGAGCCCCCACACTGACTCTGCACTTACCTGCATCCAAAATGGGCTGCATGGAGATTCCAGGGCCAGCCAGTCGGTTCAACTACCGGTTTAGCGAACCAGGTGTAAATTTAACAACCGGTTCGTGAGAACCGATCCAAACCAACTTAATCCCTGGTCATAAGTGGAAAATTCCCTTGTATTCTACAGAATGGAATGGAAACGACACCACCAGGAAAAGATAAAACTGAACGTTCTTCTCCTCATCCACGGGCGGAATACCTGAAGTCTCCTTGCTCAGGAACCCTTTGTCGAAGATCTCGGCCACCCAAGCCTGCAGCTCGGCGTCTCCCTGGACGGCTAAATCGCTCTTGTAGTAGAGTCCGACGATGCCTGAGACGAAGCTGGGAGGAGGGAGGAGCCATAAATGGTCTCTCCTGGCAAAGGGGGGATTAGCCCGAAGCTCCTTTTCCACACCCAACATCAACCCAACCAAGTTCATGGCTGTGGAGTCTTTGGTGCGGTCTCTGAGCTTGGCGGTTTCCTGGCAGACGTCTCATGACCAAACTAGTTAACGTCATCCCTGCTAGAAGGGAGTAGAGTTTGTGGAATAGAGGAGAAGCAGAAGGGGAAGAGGAAGAGGAGGAGGGGAAGGAAGGAAGGAAGGAAAGGAGGAGGAGGAGGAGGACTGTGGGGTCCCTGGTGGTCTCTAAGCATGGAGGTTTTCTTGCAGATGTTTCGTGACCCAACTAGGTAACGTCATCAGTGCTAGAAGAAAAGGGGGTTTGTGGAGAGGGGGAAGAGGAGGAGGAAGAGGAGGAGGAGGAGGAGGAGGAGGAGGAGGAGGAGGAGGAGGAGGA